ATTCCTTAGGAAATAGACCGCAAGGATATAGCAAAAAGAGGAAGGAAAGAATGCATTGCTGACTAATAAGCATTAGAGAAGCCTTTGGTTTCACTTATATGACCTTGTTTCGATTTAAACTCCTCATTAATACGACGAAGTTTCATAGGGCGTGGGCTCAAGGATGGGGCACATCTTTTCGGCCAGCCATATCTCTATAATTAACCATTTGCAGTGATGAATTTTCATAACCAACTAATAATTACACATTTTGGTGGATTGGGAGGTTATTTTACACTGCGTACTCCTGGTTGTACGCAATATACACACACACACACAAACACACAAACACAAAGGAGAAGAGGCGAAAATAGACTAACGCAATAATCTAATGCCTTTACATTACTAGCTCGGCTTCTATCAGGCCTGGCTCGGCTGTTTTTAGGTGTATGTCCAATTCAGGTGATGCCTATCGGTTGAAAGACGAAAGTTCAGCACAGCTTCATTGACATATCAAATAGACACCCCGACAACTATTGCAAGACAGACAACCAGTTGTGGTAAGAGCACAAAAAGATAGGGAGTATCTGTCATCGTCATTTTGTGATGTCCGCCTTACAGTCTAAAAGAAAGCGAAAGTTCGCAAACTTAGACAATTTACTTACAGCTTGGCTTCCAGTAAAAATTTTATTTGATATATTTTTATTGATTTTCGTCCATGTTGTTTATTTGCGTTTATGTATTAATAGAATTATGCATTGAAGAGAGGACGCAGTCTATCTAAGATATACATTGTATAACGTACAGTATCGCATTGCATTTAAATTCATCTGGAGCTCAGATGCAATTTGGGCGAGTACCTTAAATCTGCATTTAGTATAGTTCGGGCGGGTTTCATAAGTGCATTAAGAGTATAATAATATCATGGTATTTTAATATTGAATGTTTTTCGGCATATTATTTTAAGCTGCTGTATTCATGTTATTTAGTTATGCTATGCAAATTTCAGTGGTTTGTAACAATACTAATATTGTTTAATTTTGGCTCCTTAAAATAAGGCTTACCATAAGGAAGCAAACAATACTTATTTAAAAGTATGAAGATCAAGATGGTGTGGCCTTTTGTGTGGTCGCAGTCTCTTTTCGTTGTATAGAAGTTGTTTGACCTTGTTTTCGCAACATGGTCATAATGGTAGGAAGAGTAATAGGAACGCACCCTGTCCTGAGTCCATTGTATGCATAATTATTTACAAAGTCGGACCGTGGACTTGGTATATTCCCAGACGTTTCGCCGGCATCGTAGTCGGCATCGTCAGTGATTTTTACCATTCGTAGCACCATAATACAACTCGTCAAAGAGACAAGTGAAGCCGATCCTTTGACCAAACGTGTGCTAAACAGTTATGGTATCTCATTCTGGCCTGGCCTATTCACATTTCCTATATCCTCCAATCACGCCTTCACTGTCATCATATTTTACTTGCTTAATTAAATGTGGAATGGTGTGCCCTTTTTTTAAAAAAGCGGTTTTTATGACAACCCTCTGCACTCCATGCTGGCCTTCACATCACCCTTCAACCTTGTGCTGGGAATGTTCATCAGAGTCTGCCATATTGTTACGCAGTCCTCCTTCCTTAGGTCTTACCAC